AAGACGATTTGAGAACACCCGTCGCGCCCAGGCGACATTTGTCATCCGCAAAGTCCGCGATATGTTGATACAGTGTAGACCAGACCGAAAGGCGCCAACGTGCCGGTGGTTCAAAGCTCATACCCAGGTAACCAATCACTACCGAGGGGCCGGACCAGGGGTACGGTATGCAAATATCGGGGGCAATGTTTTTCTTGTATTTTGCATATGTCACAAATAAATGTTCGAACTCGAGGAGGGGGGGCTCTGAGCGTGATCACGGAGGAACTAAACCGTCGTTCGCTCTCAGAGATCCGCTTCCGTCGATATTGAAGACAATTTTCCTGTGTGCCGATTCGTTTCTTTAACTTTGTCCGAGAAAATCTCTGACATCCCCTCAGTTGGTTCCACTCCTACCTCGCCGGCCGCACTCAGTTTGTCCAGCTCAAATCCTTCACCTGAAAGCCCTCCCCAGTCACCACAGGTGTACCCCAGGGATCTGTCCTAGGTCCCCTTCTCTTCATCATCTACCTCCTGCCTCTTGGTCATAATCCTCCGCAAATTTAATATCCACTTCCACTGCTTTGCTGATGACACCCAGCTCTACCTCTCCTGCAAACCAAACTCCATACTCCCACCCCACTCCCTCACCTCTTGCCCTTCCGAACTCAAAACATGGTTCACAACAAACTTTCTTAAATTAAATGCTAATAAAACTGAAATCCTCCTTCTTTGCACCAAATCCACTTTATCTAAAGTAAACAGTTTCTCCCTCAACATCGACAGATCCTCAGTGTCCCCCTCCCCCCAGGTCAAGAGTCTGGGTGTCATCCTGGATAGCATGCTCACCTTCCACTCACATATCAACACCATCACCCGCACTGCTTATTTCCACCTCCGCAATATTACCAGACTTCGCCCTTCCCTCACCCCCCGCACCACTGCTATTCTTGTCCACAGTCTTGTCACATCTCGCCTTGATTACTGCAACGCTCTCCTCTTCGGCCTACCTCAAAAGTCCCTCCATAAAATCCAGCTGGTTCAAAACGCCTCTGCTCGCATCATCACAAAAACATCTTCCCAGCAGCACATCACCCCCGTTCTCCAACAGCTCCACTGGCTTCCTGTTCAACATCGCATCAATTACAAACTGCTCCTATATACAGATATGGCCATCCACAACCTGGCCCCTCGTTACCTGTCCGACCTTCTCCAGGTGCATACCCCCACTCGCTCCTTCAGATCCTCGTCCTCCCTTCACCTGTCAGTGCCCCCTGCCCGCCTGAGCACTATGGAAGCTAGAGCCTTCAGTCGCTCTGCTCCAAAGCTTTCGAACAATCTACCTCCTGACCTCCAAAACTGCACATCTCTCTCCACTTTCAAGTCCCGTCTAAAAACACACCTGTTCAGGATTTCCTACAACACATAGCTCTTCCATTCCCTATGTTTTTATGATTTTATGTCCTGTTTTTTATATAATATCTCACTTACAAATTTTTACATTGTATTTTCTTATTGTCTGTACAGTGTCCTTGGGTGGCATGAAAGGCGCTTTTAAATAAAATGCATTATTATTATTATTATTAATACTGTACCATCACTCATTTTCACCATGTCCTTTCCTTCGTTGAAAATCACTGTTGCTCCACTTGCCGTCGCAGCCTTGACAGAGAAAATGTCCTGTGGATATGAAGGGATGAACAGTGTATTCCTCAACGTTGCTGTATGGTGGTGTCCTTTGCTGTCGATGAGGATCACCTCTGCTTCTCCCCGCCGTTTCGCCACGCCTTGGCACTTGGTTCCATCTGCTAGCCCAACATAGTGTGTGTCAGCCTTGAAGGTCTCATCGAAGCTCTTGAACTTAGTCTCATCTGTGATGATGTTGGCTGTAGCACCGGTGTCCACCATTAGGCCTTTCATCTTTACGCCACATCCTGGAACGATGTCCGCTTCCCGGTCCTTGGTCAAGAAAGCATACGACTTGTTGCTCTCTAATCCGTGTATCATTCATTCTTTCGTTTTTCAACTGCCAATCGAAAACAGAAAATTAAAAATGAGACTGACAATTCCGTTTTTCGTTTTCTTAATCCAACATGAAAAACGAATATATGCCTGTTTTTTCATATTTCGATTTGAGGCTCAGATCAAAAAGACGAAACGGAAAAACGGGCCGCTTGACTGAATTTGATTTTTATATTTCATCGTTTGTATTTACGTGACCCGGAAGTTCTGTGGGCTAATGAGAATTACCAGCATACAGGTACTACGAGAGGTACCGATCGCAGCCATGGATAGCTATGTCTTGTTTCGAGGAGCCAAGAGTGTCACCCTGAAGGAGGAGGACATGAATGCTGACAAAATCAGCAGAATTTTCCAGGTAAATATTTTGACAAATAACTTTTTTGTGAAATTGCACCCATGTCGCACCTGCTAACCTTAATACTCAATGTAACATAGAGCGCGTAATGTGTTTGAACCGGTAACAGCTACTGCGTTGTCCGCGTTTCTGTATTTAAAAAAATGTTTTCTGAATCACATTTGTAGGTCTAGTGGTTGAGCCCATGGTGTCATCGTGTTGCCACAACGTTGTTGGCTGCAGGATCTGCATTGAACAATGGCAGAAAAATTCTACAACTTGCCCAAAATGTCGAGGGGATGAGTTTGACCTCAATATGCAAAAACTCTCCGGACTGTCTGATGCATTGGCTGTGCTGGAAAACACACTCTACTAGTTAAACTATACAATATATAGTCATGCTGTGAATTGTTCAGATTGTTTCCACTTGACTGTTTTTTGCATTCAAAGCAATTTTGACTTGTGTGAATGTCTGTGCATCTAATTATTTTATCTGTTCCCAGTGTCTCTTGACAGTTGTGCTCAGGTATCTCAAGTTTTATGTTTTATTTGTTAATGTTTTCCAGAAGTATTGAGAATTTTATACACTGAGGACTTGGTTGTGTTGCTACACTTTTTATATTACAGCTGAGTCTCAACACACAAATGTAATATTTTTTCTATACCTGTGTAAGACTTGAAATGTTAAAACTATTCAAAGAAATATTTTTATTTGCCAAATTATTCATCTTACAAACATAGGGACACATGACAGATTTGTCACGGATGAATCACTTAGGTCTTCAAAATGTAGAAAAGAGAACGAATCATTTGCTTATTCAGTTACTCAAGAACATCACAGACTGTGAGCAAGCCCAACTAAGTGTTTATTTTTCATACATATCTTGCAGCTGCATTAATTAGGCAGATTAAAGCATCTTGGAAAGGACCATCATCATTGTTTACCACATGATTAAAAAGAAGAGAGATGTCAGGGTAGTTCTCTGCAAAGCTCTGTTCTGCATGACATCTGCCATTGTCTGAGGAAAATTGATCAGCTCCAAAAGAGGACTCCCAAGTCAGCAAAGATCCAAAGTCTTGCTCAAACATGTTTGCCACAACAGAAGCACATGGCAGCAGCTCCTCTGTAACTCTAGCTCGGCAGCCATCTGCTGCCAATTCATGAGGTACAGTATTCCTTGACCTAAGATGTGGAATCAAAGCAATAGGTGAGATGGATTGGGACAGGGAAAAGATCAATATTTCTTAATTGTAATTATTATATATACCTGGGATCTTGTGTGCATTCCATGAACCCACCACTCTGAAGTCCAATTTGGCTGACTTGACATGTCAGGTTTGAGATGCGGAATCTCGTGAGGTTGTCCTCCATGTTCACAACCTCTTGGTCAAGCAGGTGCACCAGAGCCCGTTTCAGTGGATAGTTTACACGATTGTTCACCTCTGGCCACATCCTCTCCACTCGAAGGTTCTGTTAATCAAAATTCCAAATGGTATATTTCAGGGAAAGGGCAATACAACAGCAAAAAAAAAAACAACAACTTCACATTGATATTTTTTTTTTAATCTGAATCATCTTAATATTATACTATCCTTTCCACAACACTCACCCTTGTTGATGTGGTTTGGAGGTTGTGTCTGTAGCAACATGTGACAACATCTCCTGCATGTAAAGACTCAGGTAAAACCCCCTGCCGTGATCAACCCGAACTTGGTCCCACATGCTATGATTCACGACTGCAGATCTGGGGGAAAAAAAAAATCAAGCTAATGTTGTTACTGCAATAATTTTAGCTAAACCAATAAGAGTGTCATGAGATTGCCAATCTCATTACAACAGAAGCCAACTGCCTCTCGCGCTGGAAGGAGCACTTTAGCCTCCTCTTGCAGCATCGCACCATCCCGGCTGATCCCACCCTCCTAGAGGCTGCAAACACTGCACCCCCCACCTCCGCCTGCTGCACAGACCCTGTCACACCCGAGGAAGTGAGAGCTGCTCTGAAGAAGCTGAACATCAAGAAAGCCCCCGGTATCTGTGCCATTACCGGCGAGATGCTGAAAGCTGGCGGTGATGGCATGGTGGAGTGGCTAACCCACCTCTTCAATCAGGTGTGGGAAACGGAGCAGCTGCCCACCGACTGGACCAGAGGGGTCATCCTGCCCTTCTGGAAACGCAAGGGTGACAGGTTTGTCTGCGGAAACCACCGAGGAATCACATTACTCTCCATCCCGGGCAAGGTCTTCACCAGGATCTTGCTCAGCCGTGCCCTTCCAGCGATCAGAAGCCGCCGCCGTCCCCAGCAGGCTGGCTTTATGCCCAACCGCTCCACAACTGACCACATCTCTGCCGTTCGTTTGCTGATCGAGAAGACCCGTGAATTCCGTAAAGACCGCCATCTCTACATCGGATTCATCGATCTGAAGGCCGCCTTTGACACCGTCTGCCACTCCTCATTATGGAACATCCTCCAAGCCCTCGGAGCCCCACCCAAGATCATAGCCCTGTTCAAGCTGCTCTACAGCAACGCAGAGAGCTGTGTCCGTATCAACGGCATTGACTCTGACTGGTTTACCATCTCCAGTGGCGTTCGTCAGGGCTGTGTGGCTGCTCCTGACCTTTTCAATTGCATCATTGACCATCTGATGTTCAGGGTTTGTGAGCGCATCCCCGGAGTGTCTCTCGGCAACTACCACCTGACTGACCTGGAGTATGCTGACGACACCATCCTGCTCAGCACTTCCTACAGCCAGCTGAGAGACGCTCTGGGCATTTACAGTGAAGAGGCAGCGCGGCTAGGCCTCCAAGTGAGCTGGACTAAAACTAAGTTCATGTATGTCGGTGATGGACCAGATCCACCTCCCATCCACATTGGTAGCGACATCGTAGAGCCTGTCAAGAGCTTTGTGTATCTGGGGTCCATGGTGACAGACAATGGGAGCCTAAAACCAGAGATTCTTCGCAGACGAGCCCTGGCAGCATCTGCTCTGCAGTCTCTCTGGAAACCACTCTGGCGGCACCAGACCATCTCGCGCAAGACGAAGCTCCGGATTTACAACTCAGCCGTACTCTCGATCCTGCTCTATGGCTCAGAAACATGGCCCCTGAACGACACCCTGGCCAAAAGAATCGATGGCTTTGATAGCAGAGCTCTCAGAACCATCGAGAACATCAGGTGGCCCCAGCGAGTCTCCAATGAAGAGCTCAGAGCCCGCACGTGCCAGCCCCGAGCATCTTCCTTGGTCGCACAACGCCGCACCCGCTGGTTCGGCCATGTCCTTCGCCTACCACCAGACCATCCGACACGAGCCATTCTTCAGTTCGACCCAAAGGCCGCAGGCTGGAGACGACCACGAGGGAAGCCCCGCACTCGATGGCTCGACGTCGTTGCGGGCGACCTCCAACAACAAGGAGTTGCTGTGGACGATGCAGAACAGCTGGCACAAGACCGCCGGCACTGGAAAAACCTGGTTCATCTGGTCGGCTCAACGCACAGGGACGGGACCCCCGGACCTTCGCTGGAGCACTAACTAACTAACAAAATAAGAGTGTGAATTTAAAAGATGATGCAGGCCAGAAAAGTTATGACACTAATAACAGTGGTTGTGAATATATTCACCTGTACACATCCTCATAAATCACAGGATTATTTTTTACTGGCATGGTCGAATGTGCAACAATTTTGCTGCTGTACCCATCAACAGCCAAGACATGGACGGCGCCAAACATCCCAAGCTTTTCGTTTTGGTCCAGATGAAGTTTATGACCCATATATTCAGCATGGTAGGGAGTTGGATTTAAATTACGAGCACCCTCGGGGAAAAAAATGAAATAATGATGACAAATTACAATTACAAATAATAATAACAGAATGAAAAATAATCTGAATATAGGTTATGTCCAGGAAAGTTCTCAGAACGTGAGACAGAGAAGGTTGGATGCTGGCTCAATACAATGATTAAACTGCTGAAGCTGCAGCTGCATACACATGCAAGCAGGTTATCCGTGCAGGTATTTCTCAGACTATCATCGACCCAGACTATCATATGTTGGATATAAATATAGTTGGTATTGCCATGTACTCATCGTTATTAATTATTTTCATAGCTTGGAGCTATACCAGCCCAGTAATCTCTGAGTCTATGTAAACTACGTCAATCCACATAGAGCAATTTGGCGTTGACAATAAACTGACAAAGGAAATAAATAAATAAATATGATCCAGTGAACAACATCATCATCTCTTGTGTCACTTCAACTGAGACGTGAGTGACGTAAACACAGGACAAGACAGCTGTCAATCACTTAATCTGAGTGATTGACAGCTCTCAAACCGAACAACTAAAACAATTACGATAGCCTACATGACGGCCTGGGACCTATGATTAGGATGATTAGAATGTTGGCGATTCTATTGCTAAAGGACAAGCATCACCTGACGCCGGTATTCATGGTACGGCTGATGGAGCTCTCTTAGCGTTCTTCCAACCCGACCCTCTCCCGCATGCAGTCCCAACGTGGACAGGTAGCCGGTCATGAACTTCCGGCCATATGATGGTCCTGTCTGTCACGAGATTACACATTGACTGGTGTTGTCTATATGGCGAACATTTACAACATGGTAGCCTTGAGTGTAAATCTGAAAGAAAGCCTACCTCATATATTGATCGAAGCAACGCACTTTCCAGCTCCGCATCCGACAAATGCCATTTTCTCCTCAGATTTTGCTGAGCACAGAATCTTCTGATGCTCATTTCCGAGCATTGCCGAATGCCCATCTGCTGCAACTTCGAAGAAATTTCGGCGTGGGTCAAACCGCTGTTGAATAACTGTTTGACTATAGTAGAGTGTTGTTCCATCGCCGCCATGCCGCCACTGCACTACCTGAACTGCTGAGCTCAGAACTTCTTAATTCTCATAAACCCACAGAACTTCCAGGTCACGTAAATACAAACGATGAAATATAAAAATCAAATTCAGTCAAGTGGCCCGTTTTTCCGTTTCGTCTTTTTGATCTGAGCCTAAAATCGAAATATGAAAAAACAGGCATATATTCGTTTTTCATGTTGGATTAAGAAAACGAAAAACGAAATTGTCAGTCTCCTTTTTAATTTTTTGTTTTCGATTGGCAGTTGAAAAACGAAAGAACGAATGATACACGGATTCTCTCTCCCTCTGCAGCTTGTCTAGCTTGTTCACTCTTCGGTCGACGCCTGCAGTTTGCATCTCTGTGCGTTGAACTTTTGCATTAACTGCACTGTCTTCTTTGGCATCCTCTTGCTTTGTGCCCTTTTTCACCGCACTTAAAGCACACCATATCCGCCATTTTGTTTTTGTCGTCGCCCCTTGGAGCGTTATCTTTCACGTTCACTTTCATTACATTATCTGACACCTGAGCGCAGAGTTTTTTGGTGTCTTCATATGATCGCAGTCTTGTTTTAAAGTCAGCAAATTTTAACTTTTCTTCACTCTGTGTCACATGCACTGCAAAAGGTTTGAATGATTCTGGAAGTCCTTTCAACACCATTGCTATGAGTAGATCATCACTCATGACTTCCTCTGCATTTCTTAGCGCCGTGATGATAGTCTCTGCCCTAATCACAAAATCTGTTACGCTTTCCTTGCTTCCCATCTGCAGACTTGTCAGTTCAGAATACAGGTTTATTAAGCGAGGTTTCCCTTTACCTGCATAGTACTCTCGAAGCAT